TATAACTCATAGCCACGCTTTGCTAGTATTGCGGTTAAGCATTGCCTCCTTTGATAGTATTGCAGTGAAGCATAAGTGCTATGAAAGCATTCAGAGATCGGTGTTTCTTGCACAGAGAAATTCATATCTACTGTATAATATACATATTATGTATTCAGATAAGTAAAGTATTCTTTATAAATATGAAATTACAGTTATGTTTGAAAAAATACTTTACACTCAATTAGTTATGGTTAGTGAACCTCAAAGTCTTTTGTGAAACTAAAACAACATTTTTAAAAAGTTTCTACAAAATTATCGTTTAATATAAAAAGTTCATTCGCTTAACGCTTTTCACAGATTTTTTGTTTTTGTTGGAAATTAGTTTTCCTTTTAAATTTCGCACAAATATTGACGGATAGTATTGCATATAAAACTGATTATGAAATATGATGCTAAATTTAATTGATATTTGATTTATAGTAATTATAGCTTTTAATAAACGGAAAACTATCCTAAAAATAGGTAATAAACTATTAATGTAATTTATATTTACATTTAATAGTAAACATGTTTCTACTTGTATTGGTACACATTGTTGAACAAAATAAATGATTTAATGAACTAATAAAAAAGTACACAAATAATTTCAGAAACTATTCAATTAATTGATTTTATCGTTTATTATTAATACATTTGGTTTAAATACATATGTTGTGTATATAATTATGTATAACTACTATAAAGATATATAAAAATATATATTTAGATTATAATCAATTAATTGCCGCTCATATCCAGTGAATGCTTTTTAATCTAAACCAAAATCATTTTATAATAAATTAAAACTTTGATTAATCAAAGAGTTTAAGTGTATAATAAAATTTATTGCTATTTAACATGTAGTAGTTATATGTATTACCATTAATGCATAGAGAAAAAAGTCATTATTTGTAAATTATTACAGAAGTTGATGGTAAGGGCGATGTATTGGTGACAATTGGCACGGCTTAGGCTCTGGCCATAAGCTCTCACTCACTGGTAGTTTTGAGAGAAGCTCTGAAGCAAAACTAATTTTATGTATTAAAACATTTTTGAATGCAAAACATAGTGTTGTTAAACATTTAAAATTAAAAAAAAACAGATGACCTGATTGTTCAATAATTATACTCTATTTGTGTGTTTTATAGTGACAGAGAGAATGAGAGAAAATGATATTATTTTTTGTATTTTATTTTAATTGTAATAATTGTATAGTTTTTAACGTCATTTATAACAATAATATAGGAAAAGAATCAATGGTTTTATAATTTAGTTGAATATCTAACATCTATTTAATAGTCCTCATCGTATTTGACTCCACTGGCCATTTCGCTATTGAAGGCGCCCAATGAGAAACCGGTGGACGAGGGATAGGCCGACGCGCGGACACGACTCGCTTGGGCTGAGGAGCCATAGTTTGTGGCCGCGGGCGCCGCCGCCACTCGGAAACTGGCGATCGGAATACCGATGGATCGACTCGGATATGAAGCCGGTTTCGCCGCCTGAATGGGTCGGTATGAGGAGAGGGCGGCCGAAGAGCCCGCCGATGACGATGAGGGGTAGCTCTGAGCGGATCCCGAGTATTGGGAGGACGGATAGCTGGCACTACTCGGAGCGGAGTAACTGTTTCCGGACGACGAATAGTCTGAAGAGTCTCTCGACGCGAAACTACTTCCCGAAGAGGGATACGAATCGTAATTGGAATCGGAGTCCGAATCGGTGAAAGAGGTCGAGTATAGGGAAGGCGTGGAATAAGAGACGGGTCTTGTCGTGGGTTTTGTCTGCGGTTGCGGTGAATAGGAGGACGGGCTGTATGTCTGGGGCGCTGACGTCCTCACAACCGGTTGCTTATAGATTGGACGCGAAACGGGTTGAGCTCTGGCCGCCGGCGCTGACGCCGGGTATGACTGATAGGAGGGATAGTTGTCGGGTTGGGAGCGAGTGTTTCCTCGCGGTTGATACGACTCTTCGTCGTCGTATGAGTTATAGGGAGAAGCGGCGGGTCTTTGGGGTTGACTCGGAGGCAGCACTTGAGACAAGACATCGCCGCCAAAATCAAAGCCTTCGGGATAATAGCGTTGATGATAGCGAATGGTATTGTTTGGTCCCCTTTGCTCTAATTGCTGCGATTATATTTGACACAAAAACAAATATAATACAAAACATGTCATACATTCTGATTATAATAGCCATCATTTGTATTGTCACTCACTTTATACAAGTAATCGTTGACGACGTGATACTTTGACGATTGTGTGCAGATATCCTGAGCCGCGGGCACACAATTCAAGTGGATCTGATGGAAGACCGTATTCTCGGGACACTGCCAGCTGTGTTTAGCGCCGGCCACACAGTAGTGAAACACCTGACACCCGACACTTGAATGTTCCCAAATTCAGACCATATGTTTAGTCAACTTTCTTTGCTATTCATTCATACAATCAATACCTTTCGTCGGCATAGTATCCGTCCTTTTTGTCTCCGCACGAGAACTTGGATTCCGCGAGAAGAAGAGCTAATCTGTCCGGCTTTTTCTCCTCCTCTTCTTCGGCAGCTCTCTTGGCGTCTTCGTCTGCTTTACTGCTCGCACTTTGATATTGCTTTAAACCAATTGATAATGTGTTACAAATATATCATTAATTTATTCAATGTATTGTAAAATTGTGTTTTTAATGATGGTATGTCTAAATGTGTTAATATGCAAAAATTGTCATGATCACTTTATCAGATCACTTTTCAAGACCTTAATTGATAACTCCTTCTCTCCCTTCGAGCCGAAAACAATCGACACAAACAATAAAGTATTGAATTTTATTGTCTCGCAAAATAAGATCTCATTTACAAAATGTTTATTTCATATAATTTGAAGTCAATGTCTGATACGATCTGTTATTTTTCAATGTTATTATGCAAAGCGTTTTTAAATGAGTTTACTTTAACTCACAATTCATTAGACAAGGCTTTGAAAGCAAATAAATTATTAACAAAATGTGATCAAAACTATGAATTGGTTGGAAAAACAAGAATAAAGAAACAGTAAAAAAAACATTGTTTGAAGAACTCTTCAAATGCAATGTTTGAACACATTTTGTTTGATTTGCTTTCGATAATAATCGCTGAAAATGTATTTGTAATAAATGTTTAGAAAGACATTCCACTCTAATTGCCGTAACTGTTGCGAGACATACAATGTTTAACTAATTATTAGATTCACTAATTTTGCGTAAAATATTAGCACAACTGAACATTATTTCTCATGTTATATTAGGTATTTGTCTCAATAAATAACCTCTTTATGTGATGTTAAGTGAAAGTTATAAATAAATTTATGAATACTTATAATTAAGAACTAAAATATTCATTGATTAATGAGTTTTCCATTGCTTTATCAGTAATAATGTGATTATTTATAGTTTCGATGAACTCGTAGATGAAGATAATTATTGATATTTTATGCAAAAAATGAAATTAGTTTTCACTGTTTTTAAGATAATTTATGGATTTAGAGTTCGTCTAAAAATATTTGTTAAAAAATCAATACATTTTTCTTTGGATATTAGTATTATCGTTGACTTCGTGTAATTGAACGCAAAAATGTGTGAGAATTAAAGCAAACAATTGTCTGAGACGTGAAAAGTAATTTTTTTTGGGGCGTTTTCTACCTCTTTTTGCGCTTACATTTGAAGCAACATTTTTAGGTCATATATAAATTGGATATACATTTGTAATGATTAATTCAAAAAGTGAAAAAAATAATAATTTGAATGATAGGTCAGTCGTCAGTAAGAGATATCCGATATTTTATAGTTAAAGAGATTATAAATTGAAAAGTGAATCGAAAAGATTACTCAAAAAATCATTTAAAATTAATGAGTTATTGCTTTTAACGATCAATTAAGTGATGGTCTCATAAGACTGTGTGTATAGTAAATAGGGATGACTTACAGGTGCTCTAGTTCTGGAAGGAGCTGATGATCCAGAGCTGGCTCTGTATGAGGGCTGTGAGTATGACTGTCCTGAATATGAGTCTTGTGGGTCAGCGACTGATGGACTGTAAGTCTGAGCGGCGGCCACACGAGCGACGGGATCGTACCGTTCAATCAGCTCTTCATACTGTGCTTTCCGAACACCATTACCAGGAAATTCATAATTAGAGGCACTGGCCTGGC